GATACTTGTGTATCCTGAGCTGAGGTCCGGACTGAAGCCCTCAATGCCCCTCCCTCTTCCCCATGGCCAGTGTGCCTGACCACAGGGATGTCAGCACCCAGGGCTTGTCCCATGTCCTCTGCTTTTAGGTCTACGTTCAAGACATCCTGCAGAAGCAGCTGGCCAATGAGGTACTCAGCGTGCTCCACGGGGAGCAGGGCCACCTCTATGTTTGTGGAGATGTGCGCATGGCTCGGGGTGTGGCTACCACCTTGAAGACGCTGGTGGCCACCAAGCTGAACCTGAACGAGGAGCAGGTTGAGGACTATTTCTTCCAGCTCAAGGTATGGAAGTCGGGGTGGGACTAGAGAAGGGTGTAGGTGAAGGTCACATGTCATTGGATCATTGGAATCAGGACCAGAGCAGCAGAACTGGGGGTGTCCTAAAACCCTCTACACCACAGCAGAAATCTGGGGTGCGCTGACTGTCTGGGCCCCTGGAGGTGGGACTTCCTGTTCCACCCTGAGAAGGTCGACTGGTGTGTTCCTTTTCTCTGTCCGTGGAATCAGAGTAGCAGGCTCTGCTCCCCGCACCCCTGTAGAAAGTATCCATAGGGCAGAGCAGGGCTGTGGACGCCAGGGCTGAGAGACCTGTCCCCTACTGGCTATGGGAAACTGACACTTATTTATAGCAGGCTGACAGCTGGATGCCCTCAGGCCTCTCAGGAAGGACTCTTGGTAGCAGATCTTGCCTTGATCCAGGTTCTCACCAATGACGGTCCTGTGACATTTCCTTCTGCCCGTCTAAGGGCATAATGAGGGGAGAATGACTGTTACCCCATTTTGTAGGGGAAGGGATCCTGGTGCTAGCACACTGAGTGTGAGCACCCAGGTACATGGCCTCTTTCCCCCTCTCCTTCTCTCTGGTTCCCAACCCTGTCCTTAAGGCTTACACTTATGCCCCGAATTTATATTAAGCACCTACTATGTGTTAGAGATTAAAAAGCAGTTAACAAAACAGGTAAAAATAATTGGCCTTGGGCATGATAGTGTGCACCTGTACTAGGGCAACAGGCAGGAGGATCAATGTTCAAGATCATCCCTTGGTTACATAGTCAGTTCAAGGCCAGCCTGGCCTACATGAGATCCTGTCTCAAAAACAAAAAAGCAAAAAGCCAACCTAAATGGAGCTTACATTCTAGCAGGGTTGATATAAAACAAAACAAAAACAAAAACAAAAACCACATGGAGTGTGCACTGCTTCCAGTGAGAATTGAGCAGAACAGTGATCAGGGGTTTGCATCATTTTAATGGAGATGTTCGCAGAGGGGTTACAGGGAGGTGACATCTGAGAAAAATACCTTGGGAAGGTAAAGAAGACGCCTTGTGCATACAAGACAGAGGTCTAGACTATTCTGTTGGGGGAGCAGCATGTACAAAGGTCCCGGGGTGCAGATTATTCTGACACACGTGGTGACCAGAAAGGACATCATGGATGCTTCCCAAAGTGTGTTCAGTGTGTATCAGATGTGTTCATGGAATTTTGACATCAAAAGGGTTACAAGGAGCAGGTGGAGCAGAGGCGCTGCATAACTGTAAACTCCAAGGCTTTGGGGAAGCTGAGGCAGGAGAGTGATGAGTGCAAGTCGGTATGGGGTGTCTAGGGCTGCAGAGATGGCTCAGCAGTTAAAAGTATACACTGTTCTTGCAGAGGACAACCTGCCTGTAACTTCAGTTCCAGGGGATCTGATACCCTCTTCCAGCCTCTGAGGGTACTCATGTGCACACACACACACACACTACACACACACTCTCTCTCTCTCTCTCTCTCTCTCTCTCTCTCTCTCTCTCTCTCTCTCTCTCTCTCTCTCACACACACACACACACACACACTTGAAAATAAAATCGTAACCAGACATGGTGGCATATGGACACTTAATTCCAGCACTCAGGAGGTAGAGACAGGAAATTATATATATATATTTAAAAAGGGAAAACAAGAGCTGGAGATGTAGCTCAGTCCTTGCCTAGCATATGAGAGGCCCCTTATGCCCTTCCTTGATCTTGAGCACCAAGGAAAAACAGATCCCAAGGTCAGACCATTTGACACACATGTCCAGGCCCACAAAGAGCAACAGGCATCTTTACTGTAAGACTTCTCGGAGCCCTCAACCTGCTGCTCTGTGTTCTTCTGACTTCAAGACCTTCGGAAAGGGAGGTGCACACAGCCTGCCCCATACAAGCTGATCTCGAGGCTCACATCCTCTGGTGTAGTGTGGATGGACCGCTGTCTATCCATGAAGCTGGGGGAGAGGCTGAGGTGGGCCACACGCAGTGTGGAGGAGAAACCGCGATGGCAGTGGACCAGGCAAGCAGGAAGGCACAGGGCTAGTGAGTGCCTGTGTCACCAGGAAGCTGTTGCTGTTGCCCGGGGTTTTATGCAGCCTAGACATGGGAGCCGAGAGGTGGCAGGTGCAGTAGCATTGACCCCTTGGCCTCTGTTTCCCTTCATAGAGCCAGAAACGTTATCACGAGGATATCTTCAGCGCAGTCTTCTCCTATGGGGCGAAAAAGGGCAGTGCCTTGGAGCAGTCCAAAAGCACAAGGCTCTGACAGCCTAGGAGTCATAGCTTCTGGCACAGAATTCAGTGACGGACTCAACTCCCCAGCTGGTCAGGGGGGGCCTGGCGAGACAGAACTGCGATTTTCCCCAAAGCCCTCACATCGTAACCCCTCCTCCCCAACGCACTCTATCAGGTAGCACTGTGGACTACTTGGATCTCTGTCTCCCTCTCCCTCCCTCCCTCTTCTCATCCTTCCTTCCCTCTCATGCCTCCCTGGATCCCTGGAGCAGCATAAAATATACCTCCTGAGTGAAGCACTTTGTATGACCACCAGGAGGCGCCATGCCACCGCTCTAATATTTAGCGGCATCATGTACAGTTATTTATACTTTGTATTTAAGAAAACAAATACCTTTATCTACAACCAAGGACCTCTTGGACCTTCCCTGTTCAATTTTCCAATGAAAACTTTGATTATGAAATGCATTTTATTTTAATTACCCTGTGTGTGATTGAGTTTTGTAGTAAAAGCATTCTCAAGTGATGTATGGGTTAGGGTTGGTGGGTACCACAGCCTAGACAATGATGCTCCCCTGAGGGAGCATGCTGTCCCCAGGGGCAGCAGATGAAGCTTGGGTTTGTCTGAAACCCCTTGGTCATAGCAAGGCACCCCAGACAGGTTCTGGGTGACACACAAGGCACCGTCTGCAGGCCTTGGCGAGCCCTGGGGCTCTTCATAGTGGCAGGGGTTTCCTGAAGACCTTGACCCTCACCTTATCTTTAAAAATGATGTGCTTGGGGCTGTGGGTGCAGCTCAGGTGGCAGAGTGCCAACCCAGCGTACACAAAGCTGTGGATTTGGTCCCCAGCGCTGTATAACATGTGGCGTGGTGGCACACACTTGCAATCCCAGCACTGAGGAGGTGGAGGCAGGAAGATTTTAAGTGAAACTGAGACCAGCTAAAAATAAAGAGAAAGTGTTGGTTGCACTCTGTGACCTGTTTACCTCAGCCAGCCATGACTTGGCACCTGGACAACACAGGCGATGTTCTCTGCGTGTGAAGCCGTGACATGAAGGGCACCACCACCCTCACCTGCCTGCCAGGCCAGGAGCTCCTGCTTGTACACACCAGCAGAGCTCCTTACCAGACAGAGGCATTGCTGATCCCTGCCCTGCACCAGGATGGAGCTGAGCTGGGGGTCCTACTAGCGAGCCTCAGCCCTCCCACAGCTGGCAGAACTGGCAGGAGAAAGGAGCCCACCAGTCTCTCATTGCCTGTGGAAGCCTCCCTCCCTGGCAGTAATGAACAGTGCGGCCCAGAGTACACTCACTTTGACCAGGGTTTCCCACACGCTCCGGTGTCCCGAGTCCCCTGGGAATCTTGTTAAAATGCAGACTGGAGGCTGGGGGCTGAGGAGATGGCTCTGTTGGAAAAGTATTTGTCATATGTTTGGATTCCCAACACCCACATAAACTAAGCTAGGTGTGGTCCTGTCATCCCAAGCCAGAGAAGGTAGAGACAGGCAGACCTCTGGAGTTCACTGGCCATGGGCCTAGTTAATCTGTGAACTTTGGGTTCAGTGCAGACCCAGTCTCAAAAGATAAGGTGGACAGAGGTTAAGGAAGACACTCAGGCCGGATGTGGTGGTGGGACACACCTTTAATCCCAGCACTTGGGAGGCAGAGGCAGGCGGATCTCTGTGAGTTTGAGGCCAGCCTGGTACACAGAGTGAGTTTCAGGACAGCCAGAGTTACAGAGGGAAAAAAAATAGAAAGAAGAAACTCAGAACTGATCTCTGGCCTCCACACACATGTGCACACATTCTCACTCTCCTGCGTGCACATAGGAACATGTACATCACACACACACACACCAGTAGGTCTGGGAAGGACCTGATGATGCTTTTTTCCCTTTCCTTGGTCTTTATGTGAGACAAGGTTACACTATGTATCTCAAGCTGGGCTTGCCTCAGTCTCCCAGGTGGGCTGCTGCATTTCTGACCAGCCCCCAGGTGTTGCTGGTCTGAGGTCTCAAAAGTCATGGGGGTCCTCGATGAGTTAGTAGGGTGCAGGAATCCCTCATGTGGCAGGTCCCCATCCCAACCCCCGCTGCTGGGAAGTCCACCGCAGATCAACTCCCCCTGACCCCATTGCCTCTGCTCCCACCCAGCACAAGCTGCCCACCCAGACTTCCACAGCCTCTGCCCAGCCTCTCCTCACCTCAGGGGCCTGAGGTTGTTTACACAGAGGCCAGCATTCCAGTCATAGACCCTGGACCCCACCCCCCACCCACTTACTGCAACACCTTGTGGGGTTTGGGAGGGAAGAAGGACCCCTGTGAGCAGGTGTGAGCAGGTGTGAGCAGGTGTGAGCAGCGCCTGCCTCCTCCCATTCCCTTTAGTAGGTTCCAGAATGTCTCCAGAGTCATTCAATAACCGAGCCATAGCCATCTCACGCGTGTGTGCACACAAGTATTATTTATTTTATGAGCACTGGGAAAGAACAGGGGCGAACTGATGGAACATTCAGTTGGAGGCCAGCGGGATGGCATCAGGGTGGCCTTCCTGTGGTGGGGTGAAGGGAAGAAGAGACAGAGGGAAAGGGCCAGAGAGGTACGGGGCAGACCCAAGGAGGTTACTTCTCAAAGTGTATAACTAGCTTGAGAGCAACGGAACTGTGGGCTGAAGGCTATATGTCACATAGCCTGTGTGGAGGGGAGTGAACTGGGGGTTTCCCCTTCCAGAATGCCTGTCCCTGAGGCACTCGTGATGGTGGGGTTTGGGGAGCCAGGACTGAGGCTGAGAAGAGGTGACAAGACACAGTCAGGGTGCCCCAGCCCTCCTTTCCAGGCCAGGGACCTTGCCTATGCCTGCACGTGGGACAGCTGGACATCACCTGCCACCTCTAGATTGTTGATGTCTGGCAAGTGCTTCAGACGGTGGACGTAATCACACAGGTGTTGCCCATCCACGGACACCTTGAAGCAGTGGCTTTCACAGAGGATCCACACCTGGGGAGAGATGCCATCACATTTGCAGGGCACTTGGGGACCCAGGCTTGTGTCTCCCTACCCCATCTCTCCTTCCTCGGGAACAAGGCTAAAACCCGGCCTGAATGGTTTGCCCATCACCAAACATGAGCGTTCTCTTTGCCTAGTACACTAGCATAGGCCGTTCCCGAGCCTAGGATGTTGTTCCCACCCTGCACGCCTTCCATGCAGGGATAAGTGCTGGTCCATCCCTTACAGTGACCTTCCATGTCCCTTCCACCTCCTGATCCCACCCATTTCAGCCAGCTAGACCATATCCCTCACCCCCACGCTCACTCTTCCGCTGAACTCTAAGCTACTAGCAAGAGGAGGGCTGGCTCAGGCTATCTGTGTGTCCAGTGCTCGATGCCTGGTCTCCTCTCAGTCATTCTCAATGAGACAACTGATGCAGATGTTAAAACGCCACGATCCGTGGCCACTGCTAACACTCTTGTGGCACAGTATGAGGACCAGGCTAACACTCATGTCACACGGTCTGTGGGCACCATGCAAAGTATGCTGCAGACTCTGTTTGCCCCCTCCTTTCTGCTCTGTGAGATTCAGTCTTGCTAGGTCTCTGTTCTCACTGAGTTACAACCCAGGCTCAGGAAGCTGGAGAGAGGACTCAGCAGTTAGGAGCACTGGCTGCTCCTGCAGAAGCGCTGGGCTCACTTCCCACCTCCCACACGGAAGCTCACAACTGTCTGCAAATTCCAGTCCCAAGGATCTGATGCCTTCTTCTGACACCGGAGGGCCTTAGGCATGCGCACGTGTGGTGCACATATATCCACGCAGAAAAACACTCATACACATTTAAAAACAAAACAAAGAAAAGCCACAAAGACCTCAGCAGGGCATGGCAGCTCACACCTATAATCCTAGCAGTGGAAAAGAGCCAGGCGAATCAGGAGTTCAAGGTCAGCCTTCAATACATGTGAGGCCAGCCTGGGCTATATGTCTCAACAACAGTAACAGGATGCAACTCCCTTCACAACCCATACAGCCCTATACTCTTAACCTGTGGCAGAGAATGCTGCCATGACATTTTCAAATGGTGCGTGCACATTGCCCCGAGGTGGGGCCCAGGCATTGATTTTTCTTCTTCAAGCTCACGGGGTGATTTGATGTCATAATCAGGGTAGATAAGGCCTGCTCGGGTATCGGGTTTCCAGCTGCAGCACTAGTACATACAGCTCTCAGCCCGCCCCCTCCTGGGTGACACATAAGCAAATGAGCGAATGGCAGGTCACTCTTCGGTTTGATTGGTGCAAACTGGCTGGTGTGACCTCATGCTAGTGCCCCATCCTTGTGAGTTTATTTGCCCCCTGTAGAAAACAGGGACAACAATACCCTGTAGTGCAGGGCTGTGCTCTGACCTATTCAGGAAGCTGAGGCAGCATTGGAAGTTCAAGGCCTAATCTTATCAAGACTGTCTTAAAATAGAAGAAAGAAAGAAAGAAAGAAAGAAAGAAAGAAAGAAAGAAGGAAGGAAGGAAGGAAGGAAGGAAGGAAGGAAGGAAGGAAGGAAGGAAGGAAGGAAGGAAGCTCAGGCCTGTAATCTCAGCTCTTGGCAGGCTGAGGTAGATGAGATCTAGACCAGCCACCCTACAAAGTGGGTTGTAGGTAAGCCTGGACTAAAGTGAGTCCCTTCCTAAAACAAAACAAAACAAAATGGAGGGCTGGAGATGTAGCTCAGTGGTATTGTACTTGCCCAGCATGCATAAGACTGTAGCTCAGTCCCCAGAACAGGGGGAAGGGGGCCTAGCAGACACAAACCCTTACTTCAGCTGGGACAGTAGTCATGAAATAGTAACACCTTCTCTTTTCTTTGAGGGGCAGCCCTCATATCCCAGGTGTCTGCCCCCATCCCATGCACCCGCCTCTTGCACCCCAGCATCTTACTGAGAAGCTCTGGCCACAACTGAAGGGCATTTTTCCAAGCAGATTTCGTTCCTCAGGCCCCCAGGTGTTGTTGATCTGGGTGTTTCGAACCACAACCTTCTCGTTGAAACGGGGATTCAGGTGAAAAGCGATGTCCATCCCAGAGCGAAGGTTGATGTGGAACCTGGGATGGGCAGGTCACGTCGACCCTGTCTGACCACTGAGCTCTGGGCCCAGCCCCGACCCATCACCCCCAGGTGACTCAGACAGAGGCTGGCTACAACAACACCGAGAGCCTCCGTTGTCCCAAGAGCCCTGGGAGCCTGCCTTACCTCTTAGCATTGGGCAGGACAATGCCTGCTACGATGATGGTCTTGGACGGGTAAAGCCCATTTGGGATGGAGGTGAAGAAGGGTACAGGCTGTTGGGAGGATGAAAACAGCTCATCAGCAGCTGGACTGCTGCAGCAGGGACTCAGCACAAGGGCTGCAGACTCTGAAGTCATGCCCGAGAGTCCTGCATCTTCTGGAAGGAACCCAGGGTCCTACACTTGGTTCGTTAAATATCAAAAGAAAACCTCCACTGTCTCCCAAACACATTTCGACTATCAAGTGAGGAACCTCCGCAGGGCACAAATGACTTTTGGGGCACTGTGGTTTGAACGAGAATGCCCGCTCCCAGACGCTCAGATATTTGTACAGTTGGCCCCCAGTTGGTGGAACAGTTTGGGAAGGATTGGGAGTTGTGGTCTTGTTGGAGAAAATGTGTCACTGGGGATAAGCTTTGAGGTTTCAAATGACCTGCACCATTCTCAGTCTCTCTCTGTCTCTGTCTCTCTCTCTCTCTCTCTCTGTCTCTGTCTCTCTCTCTCTCCCTCTCCCTCCCCCTCCTCTCCCATACCCCCTCCTACAAAATGTGAGCTCTCAGCTCCAGTACCAGGCCTGCCTGGCTGCTGCCATGTTCCCTGCTGTGATGGTCATGAACTTTAAGACCCAAATTAAACTCTTTGTTCTATAAGTTGCCTTGGTCATGGTGTTTATCACATCAACAGAAAAGTAAGTAAGGCAGGTGTACAGTTTGCTCATGCTGAAGGGACCATTTTAAAGCTGAAAGCTCTATTCAGCGGTCTACTAATTTCCGAGGGTATTTTTAACTGTTCACATGGATGCAGGAACCTTCATTGGTCATGCAAGTCAGAGGATTGCTCCTCCTAAAGCTGCCCTTCCTCTCTCACCCTGCCCAACGCAAGCCAAAGTTCAGGCTCTCTGTAGGAAACCACTTACATAGGCTGAAGTGGGGTATGCCACAGGCTGGATTCCGGGAGTCTGTGGGAAAGATCAGGGTCACATATAGAAGCACAATGTGTACAAGCGACACACACTTCAGGGGGACCTCAGTATCCAGCCCTTGAGACCTCCCATTCCCCTTCTCTCTCACACCAGCATTTCTGAAGCTTCCTGCTGTTTTCCCGGAGCCCATTGTGGTCCCCTGCCCTTCAGCCGCTCCCCATGCAGCCCCACCAGCTTGGGACTCCCCACCTGCCCTGTGCTGGGGGAAGGAGGGAGTGCCTTGGCATGGGCTCGACTTTAGTAAGCAAACCAGAGGCTTGGACCACCACACTCCAGCCTGGGCAAGCGGGGGCCCAGTGTGTCTGCCAGTCCTACTCCTCTGAACCTGGGCTGTCCCCAGGAGAGTTTGAGCTGCGTCATCGTCCTAGCACAGGGGCCAGCCCCAGCTTTCTCCATCTTCTTCCCTGTGCACTTTGGCTCCAACTTTGCATTTTAGACTTACAGGAAACATTGGTCCAGGGGCAGTATGAACTGTGTGGATGACAGTTTGAGCCTGGGAAAAAAGAAATGGGTCTTAACTTGCTCTCCCCATCGTGAAGACAACTATCTGCCACCACAGGGTGCTGCTTGATATTCACCTTTTTATTTTTAAATTTAAATTAGAAACAAGGTTGCTTCACATGTCAATCCCAGGCCCCTCTCCCTTTCCCTCCCACGCCCTCCCACCAACCCCCCCAATGCCCCCTCATTTCCCCAGGGAGGGTGAAGCCCTCCTTGGGGGTGTCCATAGTCTGTCATTCATCCAGGTCAGGGCCTAGACCCTCCCCCGAGAGTCCAGGGTGAGAGTGCATCTCTCATTATTGGATGGGAGTCCAAACTCCATGTGTATACTCAGGATGAATACTGATCTACTGCCCAAGGCTCAGTAGATTACCCAGGCCTCCTCACTGACACCCCCATTCAGGGGGTCTTGATCAGTCCCATGCTGGATCCCCAGGCATCAGTCTGGGATTCAAGAGCTAACCCTTGTCAGGTCAGCTGTTTCTGGGGGTTAACCCAGCCCAGTCTTAACCCCTTTGCTCATCAGTCCTCGCTCTCTGTCACTGGGTTGATATTCACCTTTAAGCCTGAACCTTGACCTGTAACCAGGGCGGTCATTCACCACAGCCCTCCTCCCCCAGACGCCCACGTAGACTAGGGGTGGGGAGAGGTGTTTCTCTCCTGGAGGGGAAGGTGGGTTTTGACTACAGTTCCACCTCACCAGCCTTGATTTGCAGGAGGGAGGGGTGAATGTGCGCCAAACAAACCCATTCAGACGTTCTGCCCTACTTCCGTCTCCCCGGTGATGGGGTTACGGCTGCATCCGAGCATCAACTGTGCATTGTTTGTGAAGCGCTGAGTATCAGACTGGGACTTTGCCAGAGCCGAGCAAACACTCCACCAACAGAATTGGTCCTCCAGCCCCATTTCCTATTTGATCAGAGGCGGCCAAGCACACCTGTCTGGTGGGTGGGGAGTGTGTAGCCTTGTCTGCCCTCGTGAGGGAGGCTGAGCCTGCCTCCTTCTTTTAACCCTCAACAAGAGCCCTAATGAAGAGGTTCTAAAACATTAAAGGGTCAAGGGACTTACCACAGGTGCCTGGTGGGCAGGTCGGATACCCTGAAGCTGCAAAGGATGGAGGGTGAAAGAGAGAGATGTTATCTCTGGGGTGAGAGGACTTCAAACTCCAGGTGTGGTTCTTGTGGTCGGTTGCCTAGTCACGCTCACCTCCTCCTGAGCCTATTGCACCCAAATTCTCACCCTCATGTGCACAGGGTGTCAGGGTCAGGGGAGGGAGACTGTCCCCTGGCTTCCTGAGAGGACTGCCAGACCATCCGGGCCCCCAGAGGCAGGAGCACCTCCCCCAGCTCCCCTTTCACCTGCGAGGTGAAGATTAGCATTCAGTGCCCAGTTCCAGTGTTTTCCGCACAGGCCAGCATCCTTCACTCCCATCCCTCTGGTGAGGCCCCGAGGCTCATGAAAGGTTACACAACTTGTCCAGGCTAGCACAGGTGGCGAGTGAGCCAGCGAGTGAGAAGATTCCAAATAGAACCTGGCTTGGTCATATTGTATCCACCGCATCCTATATCCTCCCCAGGCCAGGGTCAACACTGGGGCTGCCCTGCAAAGGCTTCCAGGTGCTTGGCCAGTCCTAAAGTTAGTGTGGCAGAAGGCGGGTCCCTGCCTGGACCATCATGAACCACAGAAAGGCTAGTGCCTATGACACCCTTTCCCCTAACCCCAACTGCCTGAGTGACCACAGAGAGAGCTAGCTACTGGCCTTTCCTCCCTGCCCCGTCCCACCCCACCCCAGAAGACCCTCCCCCCTTCATTTGCTTACTGTTCTCCCTGGCTGTGCAAAATAATAATAATAATAATAATAGAATTATCATGTGCTCAGTCCCTATTGCATGCCAGCACCTTGTGAGGGGCTAGAAATACACAAATGAACAAACGGGTCATGCTCTAGTCTTCCAGGCGCTCCTGGCACGGGGGGGGCCGGGGGGGCAGACAAAGACACATAGGAATGATGTTGTGACCGTCCCAGCACAGACAAGTACAAAGTTCACAGTGACATGGGTGGGTTACAGAAAACTCTAGAGTGCCATTTAAACAAAGAATTATAATAAAACTATTAGTTTGCCGGGGCCAGGTGGACAGAAGGGGCAGCCTATGCAAAAGAGAGCGGTGGAGGTGGCATGGCTGAGCGAGGCAGTGAGCTGGGGCTAGACCAGGGAGTGTGTCCTGTTATGTCTTGGGAGGGAATTTGAGCTCGAGCTTATTTATTATTTACGGTCTCGTTTTATTGCATTTTGTTTTGTTTTGGGGGTCAGGGTCTTGCGTAGTCCAGGCTGAGGGTGATCTTGAACTTCTGATCCTTCCAGACTCTATAGTGTTAGGACTATAGGTATCCACCAAGCTTTGGGCTCTGTTCAGAAAGACTTTGGGACCCAACCCCAAGGATTTTTACACCGGGAGAGTGTCAGATGAAATGTGCTGGGTGAGGTCACTGTGCAGTGGTGGCTTTGGAGGGGGTGAACGGAAACGAGCCACGGGTGATGTATGTGGGGAGTTACGCAGCTTGGACCTTGCAGTGGCTTTGGGGAGGAAGAGACGGTGGTGTGGGCGGGTGAATGCAGCCTTTGTTGATGGGATGGGGCCTGAAGGCCCTGGATAGCTTGTTGGTTGCCTCTAGGCTCTGTCTTTTTGCTCCTGATGAACCTCCAGGGCCCGAACACTTAACTCACTTTCGAATTGCGCCCCCTGGGGTTCCGTGGGAACTGGATGGGCTGAGAGAATTGCACTGTGGAGAAGACAGGCTGGACAGGGACTGCAGAGGACCTCTGTTAAAACAAAAGCATGTCTGGGTGACAGGAAGCAAGAGGCACAGCCAAAGCAAGGGCAGGCAATGGTCAAGGGCCGGCTCCTGACCCAAGGAAAGGTTAGGCTGGCGAGAATGAGATCGCGGTGCCCCTCCGCTCCCTCGCTCCTGCTCCTGCTCCTGCTCCTGCTCCTGCTCCTCCTCCTCCTGCTCCTGCTCCTGCTCCTGCTCCTGCTCCTGCTCCTCCTGCTCCTGCTCCTGCTCCTGCCTGCTCCTGCTCCTGCTCCTGCTCCTGCTCCTGCTCCTGCTCCTGCTCCTGCTCCTGCTCCTGCTCCTCCTGCTCCTGCTCCTGCTCCTGCTCCTGCTCCTGCTCCTGCTCCTGCTCCTGCTCCTGCTCCTGCTCCTGCTCCTGCTCCTGCTCCTGCTCCTGCTCCTGCTCCTGCTCCTGCTCCTGCTCCTGCAGGGAGAGGGTCAGGAAACCGGGGCATGAGCATAATGCCAGAGGGAAAGAGGCCCAGCATACCCTGGCTTTCCAGTTTTTCACAAGAGTATCTCTATATATTTATTTATTTACTGTGTTTGGTATTTTTGTGACAAGGTCTCATGTAGCTCAGGCTAGCCCTAAATTGAGGGTGACCTTAAACTCCTAACCTCTCTGCTGTTGGAATCATAGGCCTGGGCCAGTACATACAGCTAGACTTTCAGATCTTGGCGACACATTAAGAATTTTAAAACAAGTTGAGGGGTGATGCATGCCTTTATTCCCAGTACTCGAGAGGCAGAGGCAGGCGGATCTCTGAGTTTGAGACCAGTCTGGTCTACATGGCAAGAACAGCTAAACTACATGAGAGACCCTGTCTCATTTTTTTTTATAGCTGTCTCATTTTTTAAAAAAACACATCTGGATGTGGTCTTACATTCCTGTAATCCCAAGCACTGACGAGGCTGAGGCAGGGGGACCACAATGTAGAGCCAATCTGGGTTACACAGAATTCAAGGCCAGCTCAAGCTGTATAATAAGAATCTGTCTTTAAAAGAAACAAAGCAGATTTTCAGAACTGAGTCTGGTGCTACGTACCAGTAATCACAGCACTGTGGAGTCTGAAGCTGAATGATTGATGCAAGTTCAAGGCCAGCCATGGCTATATAGTGAGGCACTGTCTTCAAATAAATACATTATTTTAAATTTGTTTTGAGAGCTGAGCCTGGTAACATGTATCTGTAATTCCAGTATTCAAGAGGTTGAGGCAGAAGGGCCATAAGTTAGAGGCCAGCCTGGGCTACGAAGTGAGATCCTGGCACAAACTACAACAAAAAATTCATACACAAAAAGTTTTTTGGTGTTTGTTTTGGCTTTGGTTTTCTTTTTCCTTCCTTCCTTCCTTTCTCCTCCTCCTCCTCCTCCTCCTCCTCCTCCTTCTTCCTTCTTCCCCCTTCTTTCTCTCTCCTTCCCTCCTTCCCTTCCCCCCCCTTTCTGTTTTTAATACAGAGGTCAAACCCAGTCGGGACTCCAAGCACCATGCTGTGCCCTCTGAGATGGATTCCATTTGATTCCCAAAGCACAACCCCACCTTGAACTCCCTGATCACCTAGCAGTAGACAGTTGCAAGGAAGGAGTAGCTTTGTTATCTTGGAGACCAAGGCAGATTGTTCATTGCAGAGAAAGCAACACCAAGAGGGATAGAGGGACAGACAACAGGCAGGCAGACACCAAACCAGGGAACCAGTGCAGCCCCAAAGCCACCTGGAGAAGACACTTGCTGGTACCCTGTTGAGTGAGCACAAGCCAAGCTGGTCACCGTCCTTCAACCCTGGGACAGGTGCCAGCCTTTCCTGACCTGGAAGGTGATGAAGGACAGCTTCAAGGAGCCGGAGACAGCAATGGTGTCCACGAGGTGGTAGGGTACGCGGTGTGAGTATTGCACAAAGAAGTTCTTGTTCACCATCACCTGCAGAAGAGAGCTGCTGTGGGGATGTGCTGGCCCGGGCCACACCGGAGCTGTACGTTCAGAAACGAAGATCTGAACCCGCTTCTCATGCCCAGCCCTTCCAGGCAGGGACATCATCTCTGGGGTGCCAAGGACAGAATGTACGAGTCACTGCACTTAGACCCATTGTCCACTGGGCTCCTGATTCTGGGTGACAGCCATTCACCTAGTACTCCAGGCTTATCATTCCTTTTTAGAAGATTTTTGGAGCTATTTTATTTTATGTATGCAGATGTTTTGCCTGTGTGTATGTATGCACACCACATGCATGCCTGTGGTGCCAGAAGAGGGTGTCTAATTCCCTAGAACTGGATTACAGATGGTTGTGAGCTACCATGTGGGTACAGGGATCTGAACTCTGGACCTCCGCAAGGGCAGCAAGTGCTCTTATCCGCTAAGCCACCTCTCCAGTCCCCAGGTTTATCTTTTCAAACTTTGCTCATGTCAGTTAACATTTTTTTATTGGTATTGTTGGAAAAAGGTGTCGTGTAGCTGACCTCAAACTTGCTATGTAGCTAAGGATGACTTGAACTCCTGATCTTTCTGCTTCCATCACCCAAATGCTGGGATTGCAGGTTGTGCCACCAGGCCCAGTTAGTTCATCCAGGGCTTTGTACATGCTGGGCACACACTCTACCAGATGAACTGTCTCCCAGCGTCACCTGGGAGAGTATCTAGGTGTGCTAGAATGCGCATGAGCAGCACAGGACAGGCAACCTCAGGAAGCCCAGTGTGACACAGACAAGCTCAGGAGTGGACATACTCACCCCACCCAGCCTAGGTCCTCCTGTAAAGACACTGCCTTTTAGCCTAAAGAGAGGATCGAAGAATGTTGTCCACAGATCCATGCAGTTAAGACTGGGGTGTAGCTCAGTGGCAGAGCACTTGCCTAGAATGCAGGAGGCCAGGTCTGATCCCCAGCACCACAGAAAGTAGCCCTTACTAGGGACCTGAAGTGGAGGAATGGAGCTAACTTGGACTTTGGGATAAGTGAGGCTGTCTGCAGATGAGGCCCCACCCCTCTTGAGGAGTTTTTGACTGACAGTTGATACAGGGGGTGGGGATTGGGGGGGAGTCCTATCTTTTCAATGTTGTTGCCATAACCCAGCAAACAGCCCCACACCCATGCGTAAAAGGCAGCTCGAATAAAACCCAGTGGGTTATTGAGGGGTTAAAAAGACATAAAAGTAGGAGGGGGTAGGGAAGACAAAGGTTAGAGAGGGAGTGGAAGGGGGATGGGAGGGGAGGATGGGGAGTGTGTGCTCTCAAAATACATTCCATATGTGTATAACGTTATCTAGGAATAAATACAGAGATTTTGGGGTTTCTTTGTTGTTTTTAGACACATGAGGCCTAAACGCAACATGGTGGCAGATTGGAGTCTTAGTTTCTGAGGAATAAAAGCAAGAGCTGCATCTGCAGATACAGGCTGGAGTACGTGTAAGGCAAAGAACAAAGGTCACATCTGTGTAGTGGCTAGGCTGTGGCCTGGTCTCAATGAATGTGGCTGCTAAATGTGGTCCACCCAGGGGCAGGTTTGGGGGTGGGATTCCCCACTCACCTTGAATTCTGACCTCTGCACCAGGAAGCTAAGTTCAAAGGGCCTCCCCTTCTGGAAGGGCATCTGCATCTTCCTCTCCTCGGGCCCCCAGTGTCCTCTCTGCTTTGTGTTACAGACCACATACCCTCCATCTTCAAACCGGGGATTGAAGTGGAAGGCAATGTCATTTTCACTGAAGCCAGTCTGAAAGTTCACAGTAATCCTAAGGCAGAGAAATGATTCTCCTGGAGCATGGCTTACAGCCAGACTTGGACAGAACCGCCTGGGACTGCTTTGTCTGTTAGCATGCTTAGGTTCATCTAACTTAGGCCAAATGTATTCTGTGCAGTTATTGCATTTTTCCCTTCCTGCGTTCTTTTCTTAAAAAAGTTAAGTAGACAATTAGCAAGGAAAAATGACGACATTAACAACAACAACAACAACAAAACCCACACATCTTTTGCCCCAGCCTCTGGTCACAGACAGAGAAACCACACTGGAACCATGCTGGACCTTGGTAGCTGCCACTTGGCGCTCAGAAGGTGCTACGCAGGCTTCTGGAGAATTGTCATCAACCATCTTACTCAGCTGTGTTCCCTGTGTGCAACACCGTTGTCACAGTTGATGTCAGCCGTTGATGTATCTGGGAAGGGGGACTGTGGACCAGCGAATTGCCCCGAAGGGTTGACACATGTTTATGGGGTGTTTTCCTTGGTTGTTGGTTGATCGAGGAGGGCCCACCTACTGTGGGTGGTGCATATCTGGGCAGGTGGACTGGGGCTGCATTAAAAAAAAAGTAGCTGAGGAGGCTAGGGGAGGCAAGCCAGTAAGCAGCATCCCTCTGGGGCCTCTGCATCCGTTCCTCCTTGGCTTCTTTCAATGATGCCAAACAAACCCTTTCCCTCCCAAGTCGCTTTTGGTCGGAGTGCTTTTTCACAGCAACAGAGAGACAAACTAATACAACTTCCATCTGGCCAGGCAAGATGTATGTGGTGGTAAGAATGGTGCCCACGGACTCATGTGTTTGAATGCTTAGCCATAGGGAGTGGCGCTATCAGGAGGTGTGGCCTTCTTGGGGTAGTGTGGCCTTGTTGGAGGAAGTGTGTCACTGTGGGGGTGGGCTTTGAGGTCTCCTGTGCTCAAGATATGCCCAATATGGCACACAGTCTCCTTCCTGTGGATCAAGACATAGAACTCGCAGCTCCTTCGCCAGCACCATGTCTGCCTGCATCGGGCCATGCTCCTTGCCATGATGATCATGGACTTAACCTCTGAAACTGTAAGCAGGCCTCCATTAAATGTTTTCTTTTATAAGGTTGCTGGGGGTCATAGTGTCACTTCACAGCAATAGGAACACTAACTGAGACAATGTACCCACTGGCCAATAGTGGCAAGTCTGTTATGGTGGTACCAACTACTTTCTGATTAAATTTGAGGTAGGAATTCACATCCGATACTGTAGACCTGGATAATAGCCTGTGGCTGCAAGGTCTTAGGCTCTAATGGGGAAGCTAATACCACTGTTTTACTTAATGGATACAGCATGCATATAAAAACACCTCTACATAATTGTTTGTGTCAGCTGGGCGGTGGTGGCACACGCCTTTATTCCCAGCATTCTGGAGGCTGAGGCAGGCGGATCTCTGTGAGTTTGAGACCAGCCTGGTCTACAAGAGCTAGTTCCAAGACAGCCTCCAAAGCAACAGAGAAACCCTGTTTCAAAAAACAAAACAAAACAAAACAAAAAATTGTTTGTGTCTATAGAGCAATACTATTGTCAGCTTTGGGTAGAGAAGCCTCTTTTTGCAATGGGCGGTGGCCACAGCGGAAAGAGTGACAGCTATACGTGGGCATCAACGGTAAAAACAAAAACATAAATGAACCATCTCTATCACCCCTTCCAAGCATCCCAGGACACTGTGGAAGAGAGGGCAGAGAGACTGACTGACTGGCTGGCTGACTACTGACTGACTGACTGACTGCCTGGGGAACACTGTCTTCCAGGTGTAACATGGCCATTTCACTCCTGAACTCAGAGCAGCTATGGCTACCTGCATAAGATCCACCTAAGGCTGGGTCAGACAACAGCACTGTGTCAGGAGAGGGCGGGACCCCCTGACCCTTCCCTGGGGGTTTTCGGGAAGTTAATAGCAGATGGGGGGAGCAAGAAGTATTTTTTCAGGGGTGCAGCCACATTAGCCAAGTGCCCGAGTTCCTGTAAACACACATGCTCATGGAAGCAACCTTTATGAAACCCACTGGGTCACACACACATACACGGGATGGGGGGCTAGTTGGGAAAGGTAAGGGGTTCAAGAGGAGTGGGAGGGAGTAAGAGGGGATAATGGGGGAATGGGGGTGAACATGATCAAAATATATTATTCACATGTACAAAAATGTCCCAAGTAATATACTAATAAAAACATTTCAAAAATTAAAAGCAAAATGAAAAAGAATAATGTCTTAGAGATTAATTGCAATTGATAACAAAGATGGACATTAAGAAATCTGCCCACTGGGGACTGGAGAGGTGGCTCAGAGGTTAAGAGCATTGGCCGCTCTTAACCACATGGTGACTCACAACCATCTGTAACTCCAGTCCCAGAGGAACCAAAGGTCTCTTGTGACCTTTGTGGGCAATAGGCACACATGTAATATACAGACATACATGAAGGCAAAACACTCATACACATAAAATAAAAATAGAAAATTATTAGTAATGAAAAATGTTCCCCAGGGAAGTCCTTTGCACATGTGGGCAGTGTTTGGAAGCTGACACTGTTGGGAGCCAGCCCATAACAGGCTCAGGAAAGAACAAATTTAGAGCAGGTGAGATGGCCCTGCAGGTGAAGACACATGCTGCCAAGCCTGACAACCTGGGTTCGATCCCTGAGATCCTCCTGGCACCAGGAAAGAACTAACTCCTTTGAATCCACATATATGCCACGTCAAGAGTGAGTACTCACACACGCGTGTAATTTAAAAATTTTTCAAAAGTCATGTGGAATTGTTGTCCAGGCATGAAAAGCCTTCAGGACCGAATCTGGTCTTCACAGAGTGCTGGTGTGTTTGGGAGACATAAGAGCTATGGAAGGCAAGCGTAGGCTCTGATCCCAGATCCACAGTGTCGCTTGATATGACCCTTGACCCACACTAACGTGGTAAGTTCTCCTTTTCACCAACGTGGAAAACTCCCATTTCTGTCTCGCTCCTGGGAGGAAGCCTCTCCCCGAACCACTTCTGGAGTACGGCTAGGACTCCAACAGGATTAACTGAAATCACAGAAACTTCCAGAGAGGCAGGCTCACAAAAGGAGACCCATCATTGTTTGCCCTGCCTCTCTGTGGCACAGCCAGCTCAGCTCAGATACAAGATCCAAGTTCAAGTCTGAGGTTCTTCTCACAGGTGCCGCACAGCCCGGTCTTCCCTGAACTCCCAAAGTGGCTGGTGCCTGCTTAGCTACTCACTGGTCTCTGTAGCCCTCACACGGAGCTCTGTCACCTGTACCCCACTCAGTGGCCCCTCCTCACAGATATTCCATCTAGTTCCTCTCAAATGGAGAGTCCACTCGAGTTTTCTGCTGGAAAATGCGTTCTGGAACATTCTAGGCAGCAGCATGCTGATGAAGTCCTCAATGGCTGAAGCCTTAGACATCAGGACCTACAAGAAGCTACTGTGGCCCTAAGCCGGGGATTATCCCACCTAGGCCTGTGTTTGGAAGGCTTGAGCAGACACATGATCATGACACCGAAGACTTAGTCCTTTTTTGAGACAGGTCTCAGGCAGCCCAGCCTGGCCTCAAACTTACTGTGTAGCTGAGAGGGAACTTGGACTCCTAATCCTCCTGCTTCTACCTCCTGGGTCTGATATTATGATTATGTGCTGCTACACTTGTGGGTTATTTTTTTGTTTTTTTGTTTGCTTGCTTGCTTGTTTTGATTTTGAAACAGTCTTGGTAAGTTGCCTAGGCTGTCCTTGAACTCACTCAGTTGCACAGAAAGGCCTTGAACTTGAGATCCTCCTGTCTCAGCCCTCTGAGGAGCTGAGTTTATAAACCCACCAGAGGCTTGCTTTTTTTTATTACATATACAGTGTTCTGCCAGAAGAGGGCACCAGATTGAATTGTAGATGGTTGTGAGTCACCATGTGGTTGCTGGGAATTGAACTCAGGACCTCTGGAAGAGCAGTCAGTGCTCTTAACCTCTGAGCCACCTCTCCAGCCCCCGAGGCTTGCTTTTTTAAAGATAGGATATCGTGTATTCCAGGCTAGCCTTAAACTCCTTATGCAGAACTTGTTTGTTTTCTTCTTAAGAAAGGGTCTCCCTAAGCAGCTCTGGCTGTCCTGGAACTCAGAGACCAGCCTGCCTCTGCAGCTTTGAACCTCTGATCTCCCTGCATCAACCTCTCTCATGCTTGGATTCCAGGCATGTCCCACCATACTCCATTACCCAGGGCTTCGTGTGCGCTGGGTAAACACTCCACTAACCGAGCTACATCTCCATCCCCTGGATCACTCTTGACAGGAACTTTAAAATATTTCCTAGGACTCAAAAATCAGCAGAGCTGGACTGGAGAGACAGCTCGGGGGTCAAGAACACTTCCTGCACTTCGAGAGGACGCTAGCTCAGCTTTCTGCATCCCCATCAGGTGGCTTATAACTGCTGATAAGCCCAGCTCCAGGGGGATCTGACACCCTCTTCTGGCCTCCTCTGGTATATGCACCGCACGCGCACGCACACACACACACACACACCTGAAAAGAAAACTATACAAAACTGCTGTGGGAACTAATGCAACGTCTCTTTTTGCAGCACCATGTCACAGTGTCAATCAAGGGTGTATCCTGTGACCAGCTGCTCTGACCATGCTACTACCCTCCTCAGGATCTGAGCCAGGGCCCAGGAGTCTACGGAGTCTGTCAATGGTGCCGGGATGGTAGGAGGTGTGAGAAGGGCCAGCCCCCCATAGCCTGCCCCTCCATGGTTGCTGAGGCTAGAGGTTAACATCAGTATTGTGGTGGTTTAAATAGGTATGGTCCCCATAGACTCACAGGGAGTGGCACTATTAGGAGGTGTGGCTTTGTTGGGGGCAGTGTGTCACTGTGGGGGTAGGCTTTGAGGTCTTCTATGCTTGAGCTACACCCAGTGTGGCACACAGTCTCCTTCTGCTGCCTGCTGATCCAGATGCAGGACTCTCAGCTCTTCTCCAGCACCATGTCTGCCTGCGTGCTGCCATGCTTCCCACCATGACAATGATGAACTAACCTCTGAAACTGTAAGCCAGTCCCAATTAAATGTTTCCTTTTATGTGAGTTGCTGTGGTCACGCTATCTCTTCACAGCAATAAAACCCAAGACAAGTGTCATACACATACCTATTTACAGAGGCGAGGACGGTCCCCTGGATGGTGATCTGAAGTCCCTCTTGCAGTCCTCCTTGGATTATTCCAGAAAATGGGATGGCCTGCAGAGGAGAAATGGATAGATATCAGTTGGGTGACACTTGCATGGCAGGACCCAGTGAGGGCTGGTGGGCATGGCCACCAAGGAGCTGGAATCCCAGCTGCACAGATCTTAGGGTCCTTTACAGAAGCAGGCCCAGTCCAGTTAATTACAGTCATTCAGAGAATACCAGAAGTTTGGCAGGTTTCTGAGGCATGACTGGCCGCAGACCTCAAGTCACTTCCTTCCAGTCTGAAGGAAGTGACAGCTGTGAACCTACCAGAAGGAAACAGCATGCAAATGGCCTAGAAGGTAAGGAACTAGGATGGTGGTGAGGGCTGCTGGCCCCAAACCAAGTTCCCCGAAAGACCTCAGGGTCCTGACTAGGGACTCAGGAGGCCAGAAGACCAAAGGGATCTACCGTTCTGTTTTGAACAGCAAACCATTTCTGCCATGTAACCACGGCAGCCAAGAGGCCAACTCTGCTGCGGGTTGGCGGAGGTAGCTCGTTCCTGCAGCGCATGGCTTCTGTTCCTGCTTGCCCCTTTGAGCCCCAGTGTCCCCGCTGTCTCACATGCTGTCAGAAGTCCATCCATCAGGCCTCTCCCTGATCTCCCTGAAGGGTCCTAAAGGAGCACTGGGTCCCACTGAGTGTCACACTGTTTTAGAGTCAGGAGGATTCCTGGTTTGACCCTCGTCACTGCTCAGTATCTGTGTGGACTTCCAAAACTTAGTCTCTGTTTGTCTCAGTTTCTCCTTTGTAAACAGGGATAAACTGCCTCCCCACTTGCCTCTTCACAAGGCTGGTACCCCCGGCCCCCGCCTGCCTTGCCCTGTGCTCTTAGAGCCCAATTCCCAAACTGATGGCTTACCAGGGTCCAGAATGCCTTGTACACCAAGCGCGCCTCTCCCACCTGCAGGGTCTGTCTGCTAGCTAATCCCCACATCGCTCCAGGGTTTTTAATGGCCTTTCTAACACCTCCTTTGGGTCAATGCCCTATAAAAATTAAACACCCTGGTAGCCAGGAAGGTGGTAAGGCACAGCAGGAAGCCATAGGGACTGGGACAGAGTGGGCCTCACACTGTTTATTTAGCGGGGCGCCGTCCACTCAGCTCTAACGAATGGTCGCTACCCGCGCCCAGTGCTGGGGGAATGAAGCAGACAAACACGAGAGACAGTTTTAGTCCCTGTACGGTGTGGGGTTCTGCAGCCCCGCCCCTTTTTAACGCCTCACCTGGCCTAGTCCCTCCGCCTGCTTGCACTATGCACATACAGCCCGCTCCAAACAGTGCAGCTGGAAACCCCAGGAGCCTCTGCAGCCTGCATCCGGTTGGACTACTCCCACGTGTGAACAATAATGCAAGTTTCCCTGGTAACCATCAAAATTAGACAGTTCCTATTCAAATACATCCCCAGTGCGTTCAGGTAGGAAGAAGAGGAGGGGTTCGCTCAGCCTGAGCTGGTTTGGGGGATGTGTGCAGTAAGGGGAGACAGTGAGAGGGAGAGTCTCCCATTTACCAGCCTGTGCCTCTGCATGAGGGAAGGGGTATGCATGGTGGGACTAATGTATATACCAACCGGACCGTCCATCAAAGCAGAGGACAGCCTTGACCACGCCCCTTAGTAACAACTCCTCTTGAACCCTGCAAAAGGGAGCCCTGAGTGTCAGCTGGCCCTTAAAGTACTCCCGTACACCCATCCCGCTGTCAGTTTGGAGAGGCTCCCGTTCTAACCTGAAGCACTGCGTGGCTTCCTTTGCAAATCCCTGCGAGCCCCTTGTTTTGAATTCTTTGGATAAGATGCCAAGGACTTGGAAACACCAACCACAGGTTGTGGAGCTGCCAAACTCTCCCAAGAACGCAGAAATCTGGGCAATGGGATGGTTTTATGTTCTAATTCTGGGATACTGGGGACTCCTCACACACGCATAAGAATTCTTGTCAGTTATGTTTCTGCACACCTATGATTTCAGCACTTGGAAAGTGGATGCAGGGGGATCTGAGTTCAAAATTAATTAGTTAAAAATACAGCCTGTATTGTAGAGATACATAAAAGAATATTTTCAGCGAAATGTGGCTGGCGTTGCTTTGAAATAACCTGGGATTGGAAAGGAAAGAAGGGGAAGGTATAAGGGAACAAGCAAGACAGGACTTTGGGATTGCCAGTCATTGTGACACTTCTTTGCAGCTCAAATTAAGTTATCGTCCAAGAGCCCAACAGAGAACACCCACCCACCAAATTCGACAATTGCTGCCGGTAGAGGCGTCTGCCATGACTTACATCCTACCTAGATTCTTCTCTGGGATGCTAAACTTTTAGCATGTGTCAGTTCTCAAGGCAGAGGGATGGGACCACAGGTCGGCTTCCTAGACACAGCTTTATGGCCTATCAAGCATCTTCAATAATCTGCTAAACTCAGGGACTCCTCCCTCCTAAGCAAAGAGACCCCCTCAGTAATAAGCTGAGAAACCTCTTCACTCTAAACTTAGACTCCGCCCTTAGCTCACCCTCCTGTCTAAGATCAGCAACCCCGTCACTCTAAAGTCTATACGTTTAAAGAACTTCCGTTGACCTGTGTCTGGCTGTTCTCTGTTCTGCGTTGCTGTTAGATCTCCACCATGCCCCAGCTACTCCTGCTGTTAATAGTTGGCGCTATTAAGGAATTTGATTGTCAGAAACGTGTGCCAGCTCCTGTCTCTAGCTAACCAACACCCCAGCCAGGTTCTCCTTCCTTATCTAACCGTCTCTGCCTTCTGGCCTTCATCTTTGAGCTGTCTGGCCACCAGGACCTATGAAAGCCTGTGATGGCCCGCTAGATGAAGAGTCTCATTCAGCAAGCTCCACTGTCATCGTTTCAGGGAGATGTCGTCTCACATGTCATGTTGGCTCTGTCACTGAGTGATTCAGTACCTGGAACAAATTCCCGCTTGCCCGTGTCTGAGTTCCTCTGGTCACACCCTCATCCCCACCTGTGGTACGTGGGAGAACACTCAGCCCGTGGGAATTGTACACGGGCATGGCAGGAAATGTTTTGTTGTTGTCTTGCTTCTACGATGCTAGGGATTAAACTGAAGGTGTCAGATTTACTAGAGAAGCACACTTCGCTTTATCCCCAGCCAGACAAGAGATGATTGTGAGGGCACTTACTCCTCCTGGAGGTTGCAGGAATAAGCACATAGCCGGCTCTTCCAGAGGACCCAAAAGCAGCGCCAGAGGACCTGATGCCCTCCTCTGGCCTCCTGGGACACCCAACACATGTGGCATACACTCACACTCACACAAATAATTTTTTTTTGTTTTTAGAGACAGGGTTTCTCTGTGGCTTTGGAGGCTATCTTGTAGCTCTTGTAGACCAGTCTGGCCTCGTACTCACAGAGATCCGCCTGCTTCTGCCTCCTGAGTGCTGGAACCAACGCCGGCTATAAATAAATCTTTTTTGTTGTTGTTGTTTTTGTTTTTGTTTTTTCGAGACAGGGTTTCTCTGTATTGTTTTGGAGGCTGTCCTGGAGCTCACTCTGTAGATCAGGCTGGCCTCGAACTCACAGAGATCCACCTGTCTCTGCCTCCCGAGTGCTGGGCTTAAAGGCGTGTGCCACCAACGCCTGGCTATAAATAAATCTTTTTAAAAAGAAACAAAACTCCTCCCACCTCCTGAAATTTTCCTCAGAGCTTTTGCTGGCATCTGAAGACGATGCTTAACCAGCCAGCACTCCCAGGAAGCCACGAGATACGGAGATCAGAGAACAGTTGAGAAGGCTACGGGTCATATTGCACAGAAAGACAGAGGTAGAGTGTGGTGATATATTATTTATGATTTAATAAAGCTTGCCCGAGGGTTCAGAATACAAAGTCAGCCACAAGCCATAGAGGAGGGGCAGTGACAGCACACACCTTTAATCCCAGGACTCAGGAGTTCAGGGTCACCCAGGGTTACGTTAGAGGGAATCAGTCTAAAAGAGAAGCAGCTCACACAAAGGAGATCCCAGCACTTGGGATCCCATGCCTCTAGTCCCAGCTCCAAAGAGGTATGTAAGATAGGAGCGGGCGTTCAGGAGTCAGTCTCAGAGATTTACTCTCCAGCCACGCTGAGAACAGGACAGCCCTTTCAGCCTGAGGTAGACAGAGGGAAGAGCTAGTTTCCGATGCTTTGGTTTTCTGATTTTCAGCTTGAACTCCAATATCTACCTCTGGGTTTTTATTATTTGTGCTGTAGCAGAGGAAGAATAGACCCAGGTCATGGGGCCAGGGCAGCACAGGTTGCTCTCTGAAGTATGAATTTTCCCAAAAAAGCTTTGTGAGAGTTCAGTGTCTTTCAATCTCCTGTAGCCCAGGCCGACTGTAGCTGAGGTTGACCTTGGATCTCCTGCCTCAACCTCTGATGTGCTGGGATGACTGGTGTGTGCCACCATCCCCAGCTTAGACTTTAGTATCCTAAGTGGTATCCCCAAATTCTGAAACATTATTTTAACATGAGTGGATTTTACAGGCCAAGTTGTTCATGTCTCAGCACAGATTGCAAAAGACTGGAAAGACCCTAAAAGTCCTCTAAAAGGAAAGTGTCAAATAGTGTAATTTGCAATATGAGGCACTCAGTGTAGACAGGATGAAGGTGGGGGTTCTGCATTTATTCCTTCGTTTCGTGTGGTCGTGGGGGTCAGAACCTGCAGGAGTCAGTTCTCCCTTTCCACTGTGTGGGTTCCAGGGGCCGAACTCAGGTCACCAGGCTCAGTGACAAGAGCCCTCAGCAATAGGCCCAGAGTGAGGTCATTTGTGTAGGAAGTGGGAGGGGCAGCTATCTGTACTCAGTTACTAACTTGTAGATAAGCTGTCTCTGGAGAAATTCTCCAAGACTCCAGTGGTAGGAGAGGCTGCAGGGAAGGTCTGGGTGGCACACCTCACTCACCCCTACCCTTAGATATGGCCCGGAACCTGGGAATATGTTGACTTAAGTGTCAGAAATGACTCTACGGATGTGCTGAAGTCTCTGGACATGGGGAGATTGCTGAACTACCCAGGCAGGCTTATAAGAGGAAGGTCAGGGGGTCAGGCTCTGAAATAGATGTACAAAAATAAAAAAGAGATCTGATCCGGTGGGATGGACCAGTGGATGAAGGAACTTGCTACCAAGCCTGATGACACCCCCCTCAGGACCCGTATGGTGGACAGAAATGACTGACTCCCCAAGGTTGTCCTCTGACCTCTGTCACATACACACATAATAAACAAACAAGCAAATAAATAAATGGTGTTTTTTAAAAGAAGCGTGAGCTGCTGCTGCTGGGGTGGGGGGATGTTTGTTGTTGGGCATTAACCCAAGGGCCTCGCATGTGATGAGCAGGCAACCCTAATTCACAACCGCAGAACTTAAACTCTTGGTTTTGAGACTTCTGTCCCCCCTGAACAGTGATAGAACAAAGTATTGAGTTAAACCTGGGGACCTAGGTTACTGTGGAATTCAGAACTTCAGTGAGTCGGTGAGGAATCTTAGCAGGCAGTAATGGGACCTGCATTTGATCCCTGCTGCTACTGGAGAGGGGCCAGGTTTCGTCGTTGCTGGTTTTTTTTTCCCCTCAGCATTTATGATCCTATTTGCCTTGGCTCCCATCTCCCGGTGCTTGTCCTGGCCCTGGGCAAGTCACTTATCTATGTATGCCATAGTCCCTCCTGGGGTTAGTGGCACCAACCACAGCCTGAGGCATTCCTGAGAAGATAAGATGCTAGGGACGTCCCTGGTCCAGAGGGTCTCTGAGTGATCAAATGTTTGCCCTAAGAAGAATGTACCCTCCTCCCTGAGCAGGCCTGTCTTCCACTCTGAGGCTAGAGTCTTTTGCTTCAATTTCCTGTTTGGATGTGCAGAAAGCATAGCTCACTGCCAGAGGGCAGACAGCGCCATGGTCCGCCAGGCACACAGTCCAGAACCAGCAGTGGGAACACCAATTTGGTATGCTCTCAAACCAAAAGGCCCAGCTGTTTCGGAAGTTCAAAGACCCTGCCAGTGGCTGTCATTAAACCTGCAGTGTCACTTCCCTAAGTATCCCAGCAGCCTTGGTTTTAGTGCTTTTGTGGGTGAGGAGATGGAAATGTGGAAACCCATATAACTTGTCCAAAGCTGCAAGCCGGTTAACATCAAGCCCGGGATTTGAACACTAGGACTCATGTTCTCAGTCATAGATGACTCAGCCAGAGGCTTCCCCTTGTGAGAAGCACATACAGGTCCCTCTGGCTCACCAGGGTGACACAAACTGGCCACCTTGACCAGTTCCATCTTCCCCTGGGCCCTCAGAGGAGTGCCCTCAGGCTATGACACTGCTGCTCCTCTGCAGGCCAGAAGTCACATGGCTTTCATAGCCACCAGCATTTCAGGAGACACTGGGCCACAGCTGCAGAAGCCAGTGGGTCACTGAGTGAGAGGAGCCAGGTGGACATGTGATCCCAGTGTTACGGAGACACGGGACTGCACATGGCCTTCACATCTGCCACCAGGACCTGCTGGGCCTCTTCCTTCTCTGTGGGAGGAGTTCCCTCCATATTTGAAAATATTGCTTCCTCCTTCATCTTCTTTGTTTGTTTTATTAAAAAAGGGTTTCATTGTGTAGTGTAGCCCAGGCTAACCCTGAACTCATTATGCAGTTCAGGCAGACCAAAAGTGCGTGGAGACCCTCTTGCCCCAGCCTCCCTAGCGTCAGAAAGTCTGCCTTCTAAACCCACACAGGACACAGCTGCCACATTTTGAAAACGTTAGCCCCATCTGATGGGAAGCTTGAACGGGAGTATGATGCCCTTTCTGTCACACTCTGCTCTCGAAGGCCCCACAGAGGCACTGGACAGCCCCTTCCAGTGCAGGTCCCAAGTCAGAAGCCTGGACAGTGTGGCTGGGGACACTGGTAACTTCCAGGACCCCCAGACAAAGCCCGGAGCCCGTGCTAGAGTAAGCTCTGCTGCTAGGTCCTGGCAGCCCGCTCGCCCACCGGAAACCTGCTGTCTCCTGCCCAGCATAAAGTGGGCACAGTGCCGAAGGCTCCTGGGAGCACTGCCCTCGGAGCACCCACTTCTGTTTTCACTGCCCTCTCCCTAGGAGCACCCCCCTTCTGGGAATAAATCAAAGCACTTTCACTCACTGTCACTTACCATCTGAGGACATGTGGCACGACCCCAACCTATCAAAGCCTCAGTTTCTCCACACACCGTGGGGCTGTTTAACTTCCTAGTGTGTAAACGGGGCTACCTGCAGGAGCACAAGGCAACCCTCTGCACACCACACTGAAGGACAGTCCCGACCTCCTTGCCCTTCCACACACATTCTGGGAATGTTGTTGGGTAAGTTCTGACAGGGTCCTCGGAGGACAGATGCCTCTGTGGGACAGCTTCCCAACTGCCCCCAGACCACTCCCAAAACACCTACTGTATTCCACGTGCTGTTTAACACCCACATGTGTTACCTGCTTTCTCCTTATCCAGACAGACTCAAGTATTGTTCCCATTTTACAGATGTGGTAACGAGACCCAGAGAGGAGAAGAAAGTACCATGAGTGAAGTCTCCTAGTTTGTAAATGGCTGAACAGAGATCCTGTGTAAAGTAAGTGCCTTAAGTGTCTTTGGTTGTCCAGTACCCACCCAGCCCCTGGAAGCCCATCTTCATCTCCATATAAACTATTTATTTTCTAGATGCTACTAGGTAGCATAGAGCAGGCATGTATTAGTCGACCACATGATCATGGTGAGTGGAGCTCTGGGATCCCCAGAGACACAGTGAGCCTAACAAGAGCTATCCAATCAGGGTGACCCTGTCTGGTGTGTCTGCCCTCATGTGTTCCTGCAGGGACACCCCACCACATGCCACTTAGTTGTCTCCTCAGAGACCCAGAGCCACTTCCTCTGCACCCCATAACTCACCGGGTTCACATAGGGAGCTTGGGTGCTGAAGAAAGCCATCTCTCCTGTCTCGGGGAATCACCACTCTCTGCCTCACTCACTTAGAGACCTCTGCACAGGGCGGGGCTGAGAGAGGAAATAGAAACCGAAGTCACTTGGCACTTAAACAACGGGGAGGAGCCAGGAGTCAGCGGCTGAAGGAAGTGTCTGGAGAAAAATAAAGATAATGTCAGGGGGAAGAGGGGCTTGGGGAAGATACTGGGTGCTCCCTGCTCTGACACCTTGCCCTCCCCCCCTCCGGTGCTCTGCCAGAGAGCCGGTCACATCGGTTTCTGAAGCTTCAAAGTGATGCTTCTCGACAGCCTTGGCCAGAGGATGTGGTTCTACTTCTGAACCTTTCATCACCACATCCAGCAAAGCTCAGGCTTCGCTTTGCCTGTGTGCGTGCAGGGAGCCGTGGGAAAGCCCTGCTCAGCCCATTCTCTGTGCAGGGAAAGTGATGCTGGGAAGGTCTAAGGAGCCTGTGCAAGGTTGCTCAACTCAACTCTTACGGGCAGTCTAAAGTCCCTACAAAGATTTAGGCTTTCCAAGAAGTATTTCTCCCTTGTGTAAAAGCTTAACACCGCAGGAAGAACTATTTTGCAAGAAAGACATCATCACTGTGATTGTTAGTGTGGAATGTGGGGGTGCCCTGGGAACATCAGTTCCATCTGCCTGTGAGTTTATGTTTCTTCTCTTTTCTTTCCGTCTCTCTCCCCCTTTCCTCTGTTTTGGGGTGAGAAGAGGAAAAATAACTGGTAGAGTAGAATATCCCAAGTGACAAGAAAGAAGAGCCAAGGGAATATTTGAAAGAGTTTTCAAACCAGGCATGACCGCACATCATGCAGTCCCAGCATGCCTTGACAAATACATGCACACCTACTCCCTGTCTGCCTCCCCACTTCTCCTCTTCCTCTTCTTCCAACACTGTCATGTAGGCCAGGCTGGCTTTGAACTCAGTATGTAACCAAGGATGACCTTGAACTTCTGATCCTCCTGCCTCTACCTCCAAAGTGCTTGGAATAAAGGTACGGGCCATCTGCACCCAATGGTGGTGGGGCTTCCTACATGCTAGGCAACCACCCCACCAACTGAACTACATCCCCAGTCTTCCCCAGCCCCAAACAAAAACAAAGAAAGAAAAAACCCTGCTCTTGTGGTTTAGGTTTTGAGTTAGGGGAAATAATTAGATGAAACAAAGAACTCAGGATAGATTTGTCAGGCGGAGGAGAGCCAGGACAACAGGCTTACCTGGAGTCATTCAGGTCCCTGCCATTGCACTACTACTAACTAGAAGGTTGACTAGAAGCGAGGTTATGGTAAGCAGCTATGTCATTATTCCCAGAGAAGCATGGGCTGCAAACTTATTCCCACTGCATCAGTGTTGGTAAGCACATAGTTCCCGCTCCCCCACGGGAGCTGATGTGGTTTGGGGACTAGTCCTCTTACATGAACTGGTGTGACTTAGCAAAAGACTTGTGACTGCAGATTTGATCTCTTGTCTATATTTCTGCCTTCTGCCTCCAACCATAGGACGATGTAGTAGGAAGGCCTTTATCGGATGATATCTTAGTTTGTGCTTCCCAGCCTCCAGGATAGTGAGAAAGAAACATGTTTCCTTATGAACTAATTAGCCTGCAACATTCTGTTACAGTGTCATAAAACGGCCCTCCAGGTACCAAAGGGGAATCTGGTTATCTGCCAGGCTGTCACTTGTCTGTGACACTCTTTCTTCTTGTACTCAGCCTAGACAACCCAAAATTTGCAGACTAATGGTTGGATATGCTTCCCTAGAGGCCATGAGTCTTCTTGTACCTTTGTCCTAGTTATAAATTCCTCACTCAACCGGAACAGACTGTATTTAAAGAGCAGATTGACAAACCTGTTGGAGCAAAGCAGGAGGGAAATTCTTCAGTCCTTTGGATATCAAGGAAACCAAGGATACTTTTGTCATGGTAGGTACCTACCAACAGGTATGGATTTGGAGCACCTGGAACCTCTGACCTCTGACCTCTGACCTCTGTCCTCTGCAGATGGGATGGAAAAGAACCAGAACAGGACTGCCACTTCAGACATCTGCTTCTCCTACGTCCCAGTCATTCCATGGCTGAGCATTTTCCCAAGGGAAAACCATGGATGCCTGTTCAGAACAGCTCTGTACATCACAGCTCCAAACTGGAAGCAATGCCCTGGGCATGAGAGAGACATCAGGGTATTCACGCATCCACGAGCCCTTAGCTCCGTGGAGGAACTAGGGAACGAGGGATACATCCAGACAAGGCTGCGCTGTGGCAGTTCTATGCACATCAAATTGAACAGGTTAGTCTTGGGGTTACCGCCTGGGAGAGGCAAGGTCTTCTGATGGCATTAGATGCCATCTTGGGCTGGGAGGTGATCCCTGCTAATCACACAAAATTCTTCTATTGAACCAGCTTCTGTATGTTTCCCTCTCGGTGTAATACCTCAATAAATCACAGCTAAAAGGAAAAATCTCCTTGAGCCCTGGAGGACACAGGCCCAGATGAGCTCTGGAAAACAAGCCCCTAGGGGCTGTGTTTGATCTGGAGGTGAGTCATGGTCAGCTGTCTCACTAATGTGTCAGTCCCAGAGGAGGGACCCAAGGCCCTCTGCCCTGTAGTGAGGGCCCACTGGAAACTCCATAGGCTAATGTATTTTATTTTATTTAGTTTTTCAAGACAGGATTTCTTTGTACAACAGCTCTGGCTGTCCTAGAACTTGCTTTGTAGACCAGGCTGGCCTTGAACTCACAGATATCCACCTGCCTCTGCCTCCCAAGTGTTAGGATTAAAGGCATGTGCCACCACCTCCCGGCTAAGCTAATGTATGTTTAGAGTATTCATTGCAGCAGAGAGATATATTCAAGGCACTGTGCCAGTCTGCAGAGAATTCTGCTTTTATAACAAAAAGCTACCTTCTATGAGCTGGTAAGATGGCTCAGGGGGTAAGAGCACTTGATGTGGGTAGCATGATGACCTGAGTTTTATCCTCAGAGTGAAAGATGGAAGAAGAGTAGCTAGGTGGTGGTGGTGGTGGTGGTGGTGGCGCACGCCTTTAATCCCAGCACTGGGGAGGCAGAGGCAGGCGAATCTCTGTGAGTTCAGTTCCAGGACAGCCAAGGTTACACAGTCAAGAAACCCTGTCTTGAAAAAAAAAGTGGGAGGTGAGAATTGACACCCCCAAACTGCATCTATGCAGCAAAGTACACTATTTACAGTAGCCATATGCATATGTAAATAACATTTTTATGTGTTGTATGTGTGTACATATCTGTGTATGCTCACACATGTGTGCATGTATGTGGAGGCCGGAGGTTAATAAAAGGCGTTTTCCTCAAGGTGCTCTCTCCCCTCATTTTCTTGGAGGCAGTTCTGAAGGTTCACAGAAGCTGGAGCTCTGGTTTGGCCAGATGTCCCCGCCATCGGTCTCCAGGGATCTGTACCCCCACCTCTCTCCCCATTCCCCCCATCTCTTCCTCTTCAGTTCTGGGTGTACAGATGTGTACTGGATTTTTATATAGGTGCTAGGATCCAAACTCAGATTCTTATGCTTGCACGGTGGCTGAGCCATTGCTCTAGCTACTCTTCTGATTTAAAAAGTAAACCAAATGAGACTTATTATTTTATTTATGTGTATATGTGTATGGGGCGGGGAGCAGAGAATGTATATGAACATTTGGGTATCTGAGGCCAAAAGAGGTTGTTGGATTCCCTGGAACTGGAGTTACAGGTGGTTGTAAGCCACCCTACATTGGTGCTGGGAACTGAACTCTTGTCCTCTGAAAGAGGAGCAAGTGCCCATAACTGCTGAGCCATCTCTCAAGCTCCTACTTTTCTGCTTTCTTGAGAGAGGGTCTCCCTGTGAAGTCCTAGACAGCCTGGAACTCGTGATATAGACCAGGCTAACCTCGAACTTCTGATAATTTTTTTCCCACTTTCCCTTGCCAAGTGCTAGAATCACAGGTATGTATGTGGTGGGATATTTGTACACTGTGGGAAAATGTATTGCTATGAGTGGTGTAATAAAAAGCTGAATGGCCAATAGCTAGGCAGGAGGTAGAGGTGGGGTTTTCTGGGAAAGAAAGGAAGAGGAGGAATTGAGTGATGAGGGAGAGATGCCAGGAGACACGGGGAGGAAAGAGGAGGTGCGAGACGGAAGAGAGGGAACATCACGTGATAGAACATAGATAATGCAAATAGGCTAATTTAAGTTATAAGGGCTAGTTAGGAACAAGCTTAAGCTACAGGCTGAGCTTTCATAATTAATAAGAAGTCTCAGCGTCAGTAATTTGGGCTGGTGTCGGAAAAGAAAGTCCATCTACACATGTATCAACACACCCAGCATCTTAAATTACCAACCTGGGGCTTTGTTCACTTGGAAGTGCCGAATGGCCAGAGAATCTACATCTAAGCAAGGTATTTTTGTGTGGGGTGGTGCTGAGACTGAGCCCTGAGCCTTGTGAGAACTCAAACACTAATGTATGTCCTCAGGCCGGGGAGTCTACGTCTAAAGCATCACTCTGCATTTTAGAGCATTTGGGGAACAGCAAAAATTCAGCACTAAAATTTTAGGCTGCAGATTCAGTGTCCAGTACTATCGTTTGGCCTGCCCTCATCACCATGGTGCCCCAGGAGTGGTGTCCAATGCTTCTGTAAAATGATACCCGTCACAGTTTGGGGAGTATGCATACACTTGATGGCCTGACAGCTTCATGAGTGTCCCAAAGGGAATATAAAGATGTGAATCTCTCGATTGCATGATTTTCTGGGTCAACCAAGGAGTGAATCATTCTCATGCGTGTCACCCCAGGCCACTCAAAGACAAAGACAAAGGCCTGCTTGCTTTTTGGTGAACAAGAAAGCTGTTTCATTATGTTAAAAGCTGCGTGTATAAATGTATAAAGGGAGGAAATGGTTGTTAAAGACCATGGGATAGAAAGACAGATTTTACATTATTATTGCTTACTGTGGTACTTTCAGGTTTTAAATTTCTATTTTGACATGTGTAATTTACCTTGGATTTATAATAAAAATAATTTAAGATTCATGAGACACCCCCAGTCACCCAAGAAAGGAGTTAGAGTCCTGGGTCTCCCCCACCTGGTC